CCCAAGTACCCTTTAATAAAGCCCTTGTGGTCCTAAACCGTGGGTATTTAAGGTTTCATTTTGGTAGGGTTTAGAGTTTAGGGTGTATATAGGCTTTGGGGCTTAGTGTAGGTCACTCATAACTCACCTTTTTAACCTACTTACCAAGTCCCATGAACTGCTAAGTATCCAACCGAGAGAACTATACTTTCGAACCCCGAACCCTAAATCCTAAACCCTCAACCCCTAAACCCCAAACCCCAAACCCTAAACCCTAAACCCTAAACCCTAAACCCTAAACCCTAAACCGAGTCCGGAGGTTGAGCGGAAGTGCCGTGGTAGATTATGCCATCGTTCTACCTGCAGGGAGCCACCGGTCTGTGGTTTTGCACGGGGCTTTGTACGGTTTTGAATATGGTTTAGGGTTCAGGGTTTAGGGTTTAGGGGGTTCGATACTGTAGGGGCCTACATAAGTACCTATACTATTTGGGGGGTTCCTTAGTACAATTGTAGTATAATAGGCCCCAAAACTTTATTCTAATTAGTTACTATAAGGCCCCTATATTAGTTTGGTCTTGGTGTCAAGTTGATTTTTTGACGTGGCCTTGATCTGAGCTCAGGCATGGATCCGTCCACGGTTGTCGCCAGCATCGATTCCTGGCATTCTTCTGGTTGGCTCTTAGGACTTTAACTTTTGGGGCTTCTATATGGACTAGAATATGTATGTTTAAAGTATAACTTTTAGGAAGGGTTCAGAAGTCAGCCAAGGATTCTGAGACCACAGCGTCCATGACAAACAAGCTGCAGGCTGCTTTGGATGGTGGCAGTTCAGGTCTCTCTGTGACTGTCACCTCCTTTTCATCCCCTGCCATCAACCCTACCACAACCAGCAGCACTACTGCTACCGCCACATCCTCAATCACCTCAACAACTGTTACAATGACCACTTCTGAGACCAGCACCACCTTCACTTATGAGGGCACCAGCACCACGCGCACCAGCACGACCCTCACCACCACCACCGTCACCACCACCAGTGCGACTGCTACCAGTGTCACATCTACGAGCCTCACGGCCACCAGCACCACTGCAACCACCCGAACGGCCACGCTTACTACCACAGTCAGTACAACAGTCAGCTCAACCACGAGCTACATCGGTACTTCCACTACATCAAGTGCCACTTCAATCACTGTCTCCCAGACGTCAACCACTTCAATCACTGTCTCCCAGACGTCAACCACTTCAATCACTGTCTCCCAGACGTCAACCACTTCAATCACTGTCTCCCAGACATCAACCACCTCAATCACGAGCACTGTGACCACCTTAACAAGCACCAGCGCCACTTCCACGAGTTCCACCGTGACGCAGACAAGCAGCACGAGCACGACTGGCACGGTGACCAGCACTAGTACCACAAGCATGACGGCCACCAGCACCAGCATGACGAGTACTGTCACCAGTGTCACCAGCACGACCTCCACACAGACGATGACGACACAGACGCTCACATCCACATCAGGTGCCACAACTACCACCTGGACGGAAACATCCACATCTGCAACAGCGACGAGCACGACATCGGCAACGGTAACAACGACTTCCGAGACAGTTACAACTTCTCCAACCACGACTACCTCCAGCACAACAGTTACCAGCACAACAGTTACCAGCACAACAGTTACCAGCACAACAGTTACTGCCACCACAGTCACCACAAGCAGAACCAGCAGCACTACAGCCACAGCAACGACAGTCACGGCCACCACCTCCATTACGTCCACCACCACTGAGACTGCCACAGCAACGTCTGTTACCACAACTTCGGTCACCGGCACAACCAGCACGGTGACGAGCACCTCTGGCACAGCTACAAGCACAGTCTCCACCACTATCACCAGAACCAGTTTCTGGATCGTTCTTCAGCATATCCTGTTGTGTATTGTGTTAGTCTAGCGCACTTTCGGAAGACTGAAGAGGGAACATGCATAGCGATTTTGCGAGACACGAAGAACAACCCAGGTATCACTGTGTCTTCGACTACGACCAGCTCCTTCACCCTCACCAGCACGACCACCATCACATCCACCACCCTCGAAAACTACAACATCATCGCCGGAAGTTTGACCTTGGAAGTGAGCTGCTCGATGGCAGGGATGGTTTGGAGGAAGGTCAACTGTATAGGTTTATTTAGAACCAATTCATAACCTATACTTTTTGGGGTGTTCCTTATTACCACTATAGTATAAACTACCCCACAACCCTATTCTACTTATTAAGGCCCCTGTATCAGGCTTTGGGGAAGAGTTTTGGGCGTATAGTTGAGGCATCAATGCTCCTGCGATGTCGCCATCAGGATTTGGTATTCGGTAATCCCAAATTGGAGATACTGGGTCCAGTGAAAACTCGGTAGGCCAATGGGGGCATGTTGAGACCATACATTGCGTGTAGATGGGTCCCAACCTTTGCTTTACAAGATACATCTTTTGATTACAGCATTAGCCTAGAAGCTTCTGGACGCCTGATCGAATAAGCGGCTCTTTGACCATTGGGCGTAGACACTACATTCTGGATTCTTGATAGGGAAGGCAAGTGCATTACTTTCAGTACAGCTGTGCTTTGCGTCGCATGGGTCGCATGGGGCCTTTACGGGATCTCTGTATTGGCGTATGGATTTGTGTATGGTTGGGTTGACCTTACTATTTTATGGATGCATGCCATTCGAGACGTACTTGCATTGCTATGTCATCGCTATCATGGTATCTAAGTTTATGTTCGGCCCTAAACCCTAAACCCTAAACCCTAATCGGGACTACTTTTCCGGGTTGATATGGGCCATGGTTTTCAATCCGTCGGAGGAAACACTCTGCACCCGAAATCTGGGGGTCTAAGGCGGTTCGGGTTTAGGGTTTAGGGGTTATGGTTTAGGGTATGTAGGGTTTAGGGTTTGGGGTCTGTAGCGTTTAGGGTATGTAGGGCTTAGGGTTTAGGGTATGTAGGGGCCTTAATAATTGGAATAGGGTTTGGGGGGGTATATTACACCATGATTATAATAAGGAGCCCCTAAAACCCTATTCTAGCAGTTATAATAAGGAACCCCTAAAACCCTATTCTAAGCATTAAGGC